CCAGGATTCTGGTTAACTTTATTGAAATGGCCATATCTCAGTTACAGTGTGATCAGCCATGATTCTCCACAGACTAAAGATTGTCAGCCAATAGAGGAAGGAAAGAAAAGGAAATTAACTCCCACCACCACTTCTTTACAAGACCTTTAAGTTATCTACAACCTTGAGGTGGCTCTGCCTGCACTCTTCTCTTTGAAGTACATATCCTTAGAGTGTACCCTGTGTACCAAGGAAGCTTTTAAACTGTAATACAAGATTTTGTTTGAACATGAACTAGGCTGATTATTTTTTTAAGTGATGGAAACTGGATGTGCTGGAGAAGATGAAATAGAAATAAAGGAGATTTACAAATTAATATATACATATTTCCCTACCCACTAAATTCTTGAGGAACAGGTCTGTTTGCTCATGTTCTCACTCCCATCAACTGCTAGTGGCCTGGGTCACTAGAAATTTTGCTGCCCTTGGGGAAAGCTTCTTTGAGGCTGGCTGTACATCTTCCACTAGCTCTGCTGAGGAGGTCCCTGTTCTCTGCACTTGCTGTTGGTTCACAGATTGCCATCTCTTTCTCTCTGCCTTCCTGTGTCTGAATTTACAAAGTTTTTCCCAGGTTACTGTGTTCAATTATGCTCAGAAAGAGAGCAGTCTACCTTTTCTTCTGCCAGCTTCCACTAGAGCCAGGATACAGTAACCAGGACAAGCCATTGTCTGTGCTGATCGATGCTCCTTTTTAAAGTACGGCACACAGAAAATGACAAATGAACAAGCAAAACATAGTATCCTTCTCAAGGGAATATTTCTGATCAGTTATTCTAGACACCTCATTGCAGATTACTTCATTTGTTTGCTTTCAATTAAATACCTTGTCTGTTGGAGCAATTCAAAGGCAACTGTAGAAACAAGAGTGTGAAAAAGGACAGCTTGTGAAGATAAGTATGTTTTCAAAAGACAGTTGTAAATTGGTGATAATTTAACCATTTGAAGTCAGAGTTGACTGACAAAAAACATTATTTAGATACATGTTTTGATTTTTGTGTGGAATGCTATTAGTCTAATAATCTTGATCTCACCTGGAATGTTCAAGAATAAAGTTCATAATACTTGTGAAAACCCATGGCATAACCAGGAAAATAACATAAAGGATATACACTCATTAGTCTTAATATTTGTATATGACACTTGGGAGCCATTTGAGTTATAACAGAATTAATTGGGGAGCTTTCAACCAAAAGCCTCTAGTGTTTTAATTCCCCATTTTAAAAAGTGGAAAAATAATCTTTGGTCATCCGTATTTACAGAAGGGCATACGAATAGTCATTATGTAAATGAGATGATCTTGGAGTCATAAAAGCTAGAAGAGAGAAAAGACCTATTAGCTCACCTAGTCTGTCTCTCTGCAACGCAAGGTTGTTTTCTAGTTTTTAATGAGCCAGCCTATGGAGCTGAGGCCACATCCCCTGGGAGGCTATTCCAGGCTAACACTAATGTATTCTTTTCATAAGAAAATTTGTCTTTCTATTTTGTTTCTCTTCCTTAATGTAATTGTGGGGGTTTTTCCTATCTGATACTTCCTTTCAAACTGCTAAATTCCATCTTGCTTTTTGTATGCATTCTACAGACACTTGTCAGCTTTGGATTAGCCATTCGGCTTAAAGATCTAACCATATTTACTATTTTGGTAACTCGGTCTCTTCAGCCCCTATCTACTTACATATTTCTGGTGCCTGAAACAAGATTGGAGGTTGAGTGCAAAAACATAATTTTCATTTTCCCTATATAGGCAATAATGGTTTTACCTTTTCCAGTATTCCTGCAAATTTGTAATCAAGATCTGGTTTGATATTTTACATCTCTGTCTGTAGGTACAACATTTGGGAAAGAAATAATCCACAGTGCCAAATGTCTATTATAGCTTGGGGGATGAATCCAGTGAAATTGTTACTGCCTCTGTGTTATTGCTGGTCTTCTCAAAATGAATTGCCTCATTGAGTTGTTGCCCTTATAAGTCCACTTTGAAATAAATGATCTCCAAACAGCCAAGCAGTAAGAGTAACAATAGTAATTTAAATCACAAAACGGTTTGTTCTTTTCATGTATTCATTTAAAAACATAGGCATGATCCCTTTAGTTCTATTAATGCTGAGGACATGCTAATAAATGCTTAACTGGAGACCAAAATGTGAAAAGAACAACAGTCAAACTAAACTCCTCCCTTGTTCGAGGCTAAGCTTCCTAGCTGATTGAGGGAGAGCTCCTGGAAATGCGCACATCTCATGGTGCAGCAGATTTCAATTTTTAACCCTGATCCTTCAAGTGGCAGAGCTGTAGTGGGCTCTTCTACCAGGTGAGTGGAGCAGCAGTCTTGCTTCCTAAAAAAGCCTCTGCCAGTGTTACCTCTGCAAAACTTTTCAAAAATGCTTTGTGCCGTTTGTCCATCAGCCACTCCCTCTGTAGTTCCACCGCTCTCCTTCACGAGTAGTTATGTTCTTCGCTGGCCCCACTGTTCATATCTCCTGGTCTTCTGTTTTACTTCCAAATTGATGAACTTTTCAGTCTCTTAGCTACTGATGGTTTTGGGGTTTATTTTCATTCAACTTCCAGTTCTGGCTCAGTTGCTAAGGTCATATAAGTATTCTGTTTCTCATAGGTTACTTCAGACTAGGGGTATTTGTCTTGATGCCTTGTTTGATGAGTTTGTAGAAATGATGATGATCCTGCACCAGTTTGATTACCCAGAAAGCCGCAATTCCAGAAGCACCAAAAAAGGTTATTTTGAGTAAGAAGCTAATGCTGGTGAAAAGTTATGTAAGAAGAAATAAAGTATTTAGAAGAGAGATGCAAAGATAGGAAATGAGGAATGCAAATGGCAGTGTGCATAGGTTAGTAATTGTGGTATATAGGTGATTGATAGGGAATGAAACAAAAGACTCAGTGAAGTAATACTAGTCGGTGAAACTAATGAGTGCGCATTTATAAATATTCAAAACGAGAAAAAGCATAGGTCATATGTAAAACTGATGTTTAAATTAAATGGTAGAAGTGTTCAGTCGTATTTCTCTTTACAATAGAAACAAGGATGTTTAGAGCTATCCCATGTGATATTGCTAGAATAAACAGTTTATCATCTGTAGAAAAGTGGGATGAGGGGATTTGCTAAAATTAAACATTTCATGTCAACTAACCCAGATAGCTTACACTGAGGAAATACCTGAATCATTAATGTTATTATTAAACAATTCTTGGGAAACAGGGGAAATGCCCAAATACTGAAAAAAATGCAGATAATATTCCTTTACTTAACAAGGGCAAAAGCAGGTAAACCTAGGGAACAAAACAATTAGCCTCAAATCAGCACCAAATTCTCTTTTAATTATGTTGAGCTTGAGGTGACAGCTAGATGTCCCCAAGTAATGCCACAGAATGGTTAATATAATACTCTAATTGTATGCTAATATCCAATTCTTTCTTTTTTGGTGATATTAGTGAGCATGTTTTCAGAGAAACCTGTTGTCTTTTTAAACAAGACGGCATGTCTCATTGATGAAGGCACCTTGCTATGTTTAGACCATTTCAAGAGTAAGAACTTCAAGCCTTAGTGAGAATGAGAAGTGGTCAGTAGATGTTTTCCAGGGGAAGAGAAAGATCATGATTTTTAGACTGGACAGAAAATAGATGGTAAGGTGGTTTTGGTTTGTGGGAGAGAAGAATGTTTTGTTTTTTTCTGACAAGGTGCCTCATTATACCCTAGGCATTTAACACTGAAATGTGATGCTTTGGTTTCTAAGTGATTCTGAGTGGCTCCACTGCTTTTGAAAGTGGGACTGAGATTCAGTCTTGCAGGCGTGCCACTGCGATCTCATAAATGGCCACCTATCAACTAAGCTGCGGTATCTACTGGTGTATGCTTATAGCCTCTCAAAATCTGAGGTAAGGCAACTTAGCCTAGCCCTCTGTGAACAAGGTTTGCGCTAAATCGTATTACCCTGTATTTGTCATGGGCTAACAATTCTTACCAGGAAAATTACCCTGGCTCAGCTGGCGTGTGGTAACTGCTGTCATTTCATCTTACGTCTCTCCTTGCTCTTAAGTTCCTTGTAGCTAAATTTATGGCACCTAACTGCAGGCTTTCACTCTAGCCTGTGAAAAGAGCTTGGTTTCTCCTAGGGCAATTTCTTCCACCTTAAGATGACTAAACCAGGTGGCATGAACTGGCTTCCTGGAGGTACCGATTACTCTTCGTTGGCTGTAGAAGGCACCAACACGCTGTCTGAGGCCAGATTAATTCCACCTGTCTTTGCTTTGGAGGATTTCCTTTGTTGTTTTTAAGTGTTTGCTTGCAAAGCACCGAGCACAATTGGAACACTTTGCTGGTGTAGGAAAAAAACAGTAACTTCTTATACTGACAAAAGCCAAGAGCTCTCTGTTGGGAAGTGCCCTCAGTCCCCAGAAGCACCTTGTATTTCCCTAATCGGCTAACCACAGTGGCTGATGAAAGAGCAAGTGGCCTTAATGGTTTTTTGAAGGAAATCTCAAGCATTGTTCTACAACCAAAGTTATAAATCTGTACCAGGAAAAATGAGGTGATCTGTGGGAATCAGAAAACACATTTGGAGAAACTGTAATGGGATTAGAAAAAGGAAAGTTGACTTGCATTTCAAGTGGAACCTTACATACATATTTTAGAAGAGCTTAAGACACAAGCTTTATTAAGTATACATTTTCATTCTTCCAACAAAACAACAAATGTTTCATTCACTCAACAATTTACGTGATATAAAATCTGTAATAAATAAAAAGAAGCAATAAAACCCAAATGTTGAGAAGGAAATTTCAGTAAGAGCTAAGAGGAGTACTGCATTAAAGACAAAAGGATGAAACTAGAGCCCATACTTAGAGTGGGAGAGTCAAGAAGCAGTGGCTTTCTATGAAAAATCAGTTTGACTTTCTTTGTGGTCATTAACATTCATTCTCTGGTGAAGCATATTTTATGTTTTGCTTAACAAAATGTCCATGTCCCTAGAGTGTGCTGACATTTAATGTTCTGTAAGTATCATAAACCTGAACTCTTAACATCCTTCTACTGTACCATGGCTTTCTTACTTTGTGCAATTGATCTAGCTATGGTGATAATCAGTAATTTTGAACTGTATCTAGGTGAAGCAGTCCTGCCTGAATTGGTTTACATATAGACTGTCAATTGTAGATAATTTGCATTAAATATATAGTGCAGTTTAAACTCATGTTGGTTACTTTAAAAAATTTACTACAGATATTGGAAAATTTGGAACAAGGCTTAGCTGAAGATGGAAGTATGACTAACATTACACAGGAGAACAGACAAGGTAGGTTTCTTAAAACATTTTTTTCACAGGTAGTGCGCTTTTATCACTTGCCTAAGTATGCCAGAAGTTTTCACAAGACTGCCCCAGAGTTGTTAAAACAGTATTTTTGTAATCTCATAGCCTACTCAGTCTCTGAAATGATATACCTTGTACTTTTATTTGCTGGAATTAATTTCACAGTTTTGCCCTTGATCAAACTGATGCACTAGATCCATTTTTTTTTTCCTACTTGGAAGAAACAAAGAACATGTCTGCTATCCTTTAGTGATGAATATATAAGCGTAATGCTGTTGCAGCTGGATAGATGTTTCATCTTAAGCCTTGGCTGACTGGCTCCTCTCGGTCCTTATGTCTGAAATCCACTGAATTATTTAGGTTGAACTGCCATCATACAAGGGCTATACTCGCCTAGGATGCTGCAACATAAATGGCAGAGTCTCACTGTAGCTGCATGGTACTTAGACTCCTGAAATACCGAAGTCACTTTTTAGTGTAAGATTTGGGTGATATTAATCTACGTTGTCATTTTCATGATTTTATATGCAATTATGTTTTTTTCCTGTTCCTTCTTAGTTGTTTATCTTCAATAGTATAGGATACATTACTGCATAAAGAAGGGTCATCAGGATAAATTAGTTGTCCAAGCATCTTTTTTTTTAAGGAATTTATACTAATGAGGTAATTTGACTACACTTAGGAATTGGACAAGAGGAAATATTTTAGGCATTGTTATGGATTGTATGAACCAGTCATGGTGCCTAGCAAGTTAAAAACATCATAGCAAGAAAACAAAAACCTTTCAGCTTCTGCTAACAGTCTAAGGAATCTTATCAACTTATTTCTAGGATATCATTCACCTAGAGCCTATGGGAAGTAAAAGTCTGCCTCTGAGATAGGAAGAGGCCAAGTAGAGTTGTTAACAGAGTTTAAAAAATGTTATAAACAATTCAGTAAAACAATGTCTATATGGAAGGGTGCAGACCTGTCTGAACTCTTCTTCCTGGTCTTCAAATTGACTGGATGTAAAGCAGCTTTAATGTGTTACTGTATGTGACTTAATACACCATCTGGATATGTCCTAAAAAAGTGAGGAGCAGACATGTGAGCAGCATATAAGGCATTTGCAAATATAGTCAAATAAATACATTTACTACTCTTCTCAAAAGGGTTAAGAAAAAGAGAAGTAACCTGATACTGAAGATTTATCCACAGCGCTCCAGGAGTTTCTGTTGTTCTCTCCTTGTATTACTATTCTTGCCTCCATTCTCTTAGTTACTTTTCCCCGTCATCCCCTTTCTACTGTCATTTTTGTCCTTACTATCCCTACATTCTTTTCATTTTTACCCCTTTAAAACCAAGACACTGATCCTCCTTTAAGGTACAAGGACATTTTCCTAGCCGTGTCATAATCCTCTCTCCTGCAGTCTGCCTCACTCGTGAGCTTCTGCCTCCTTGCTTTTCCTCTCTGCTGCTGCTTTAGAGCTGAGCTGAGCTGAGCTCAGGAGGAAGTATGGTTAGAAAAGCGGCAGCTAGTAGTTACAAGGGACAAGGCTGCTGAAAATTTGGAGAGATCTTCATATGTCTACTATGCGGCTGCCTGAAGGTTTAAGACTGCCAAAAAGCCCATGGGACCTTTGGAGAGACTGTTGACTGCTATTGTCTGTGGAGGTCAGCCAGATCTGCTCCTTGTCTGCTTCTTCCTTGCATTTGGAGCTCCAGGAGGCTGATAATGGGTTTGTTTTTTTTCATGTGAGACTAGCTGAAGCAAACCTTATTAACTTTATGGGAAGACAGCCTTAATTCATTATGGGGATTATGCTTAGCCTGTAATTTCCATATTGCTGGTGTGTAAGAAGGTGCCACACCAATCAACTTAATCATGTACATCTCCTCTAGTCTGGAACAGAGCACCCCATTTGCCAGTTTTTCAACAGGCAGAGAGATTTAGCATTGCACCACTTGCCTGGTAACGCATTCTGGAAGATGCCAATTGTGCAACTTCTCAGTGCGCAGAGGCTCCTATTGAAAGGAACGGCAGTGTGGAGTGCAGAACCCTTGATAAATAACAAGGAAAAACAGATGCTTAGAGTGGAAGCATGGCCGCGTGGACCTTCAGAGTGGGTTTCGGGCATCTCAGTAACATAGAATGATCTGCTGTTGGGTTTTTGATTTTGTTTACTGCTTTGCAGGTTTTCTTTAACCCCTTTCTGCCAGCACTGAGAAGCCTCATCCCACAGGGCTACAGAATTTCCAGGTCAGGTTCCTGTTTATTTTATAGCACAGACTGAAGACATCTGGTCTGTCTGCTTTGCAGTCCTTTCTCAGAACCGTAGCTGGTGCTATTCAGTTGTTAACAGGAAACCTAGATGTCTCCACTACAGGAATCAACGTTTGATTTGTTGTCACCTAAGTCCTACATAGCTGAGTGTGGTTACCGAACTATGAGGATGTACAAAAAGGAGAGATTAACTTAAGTGAAATAATAGAGTTACTTAAGTATGTCCAGATTTTACAGACACGCACAAAGAAAGGAAAACAGAAATATATCATAAAATATTTGCTCATGGTTTACAGCATCCTCTCCATTAATAGCAGTAGGGATGGGGGGTCAAGGGTAATTTCTAAAACAAAAGCTAAGAGTAACGAATTATTTTAAGTTACGGTGGATGAAATACTGGTTCAGTCTCAGGCCCCACATTGTGCCCCTCTTTTGACAAAGATAATTTGGGAATATTCATGGGGTTTTTGTTTTCTTTTGTTGTTGAAGAGGATTGAAGGAGTTTTTTAGAAAGAGGACTAGACATTTCACCAAGCTCTCTTCTTATTTGTAATGGCATTTATGTGTGCTGAAAGAATTATCTATGTGACCTGCCATGCTTTCATCAAAGACTACATTATTGATACGAATGAGCAGTCTCAGTTATCACAATCTCATTGAAATAGCCTCTTCTCCCTTTCCTCCTCCCCTCTCAAATCATTACAGTGACCTTGACAGCTGATTGACTGAGATACATTTATTTTCCAAATGTACTAAATTAATACTCCTAATGTTTATTTTTGAAGGATTAGAGGAGTATTTCTAGCATTGATCTATGGTACTGTAATGCAAGAGAAAATAAGGATCTGTGTGAACCATTCCCTTACAACATCAGGAGTCTGTCTGCAAAGCAAGAGAGAGAAATCTGCTGCTGCAGCTTTTAATGCCTGCAGGCTCCAGGAGCATGGGGAAAGCAGACAGGCTTGGCAGATTTATTTTTTTTTTTCCAGCATATCTCTAAGCCAGAGGCAAGCACAAGCAGTCCCAGACTCAGACAGTTCTCACCCTGCATGTTTTGGCTCTGAAATGACATTTAAGCTATGTTTGATATTTTTTTAATTTATCACATTTAATGCTGTAGATTACATGTTTTTAAACTGATGCTCATTATCACTTGAATCTTTCTATGCACCTTTTGTTCTGATACTGGAAAACGCGTGCTTCTTTTGGTGTTTAATATTTGGCCTGGGCTCAGAGCTGAGCGGCTGTCTATTGCTCTGCGTTGTTGCATCGTGTATGGTACCCAGAGCCACTTGAGCAGTTCCCTCAGAGAGATGCAGAATTTTCTGTCTGACGGTGCAGCGTGGCCGAGAATTAAAAATTCTAGGCTAAAACCCAGCAGTGTTAACGAGGGGGATCTTTCAAAATGATAATTCCTAGTACCAATAATTGATGGCAAGAAAGAACCTCTAATTTGTTTGGGCAAATTCACAAGCTGCTCTTATTTTGCAGCCTCTGTTCAGCTGTGGAGGTCACGACTGGGCCGGGTGATGTACTCCATGGCAAACTGTCTGCTAATGATGAAGGTACGTGGGTGGCAGCAACTGCAGAGGTACCGTATATTCCAGAATAGAATGTCAGTGAATGTGCGAGAGAATTACTGGTGCATAGATAAGGGTAGACTACCTGACTGTACATGAAGGTTTTGCTTAGTGAAGAATTAATTAGACTGAATAATGTGTTATTTACTGGATAACTATTTGCAGTCATGTTCTTTGGGAACATATCTGTACTTACTTCTCCCCAAATCTTCCTATAGAACATGCAATAACAATACAGAATTTGCATTTTTAAATTGAATTTTTCAAACACTTAACTAAGTGCTGTAATTAAAAGCAATTATGTGCTCTGTCTTTTTCAAACTATGCACTAAGAATGTTGCTCTGTTTGTGAGGATTAATAATACTGTAGCCTTTGTATATGACGAAGATCCCGAACACCTAAATACATCCTCCTTTGTCAACCTGTCTCAATTGTAAGATACCTTCTTTCAAGTTTAAATCCTCACTAGTGGGTAGGGGCAGAAGAGAAAGGAATAAAAGCAAAAGTAACTGGCTTCCACTGTTGGTTTTGTTCCCCTTGATTCCTCCTTACTTTTTTAACCAATCCTGCTCCATTTGGCGCGACACACTTAGCTTCTCCTTGTATTCAGGAAGTAGAAATAAAACTTCTGCCGTTCACCTCATGGTCAGGGAAACAGGGGTATCGCCATTCTTGCAGCAAACTGCTGTTACCCTGAGCTTAACTGTACTTCACAAATCAATTAGCAGCAACAGCCTCGGAGCAGAGCTGTCAGCGGTATAATCTGCACAGGCCAAGATTTGCACTCCTTGCTCCCTGCTCTTTGATTGCCCAAGGTCATGCCAAACCAGACCCTCTGATGTTTACTAAGCTACTTCCCAAACGAGGCTCCGTTCTTAATATAACAATCCCTCAAAAAGCATGCATTTTTTAGGTGAGATCCAGTTACCCAAATACTGCTTTACATGAAACGGAATATCCTTTTTATGAGAATTAGGGAAAAAAGAAATTTGTATTCATAATGACATTGTGATAACAACATTTCTGTCTTGAAGAGAAATAATTGTCCATTAAACCATGAGGTATTTTTAAGATTTAGTAAGCATTTCTGGTTTGAAGTAGGTACTTGACATAGGTTCATTTTTTAAGGAACTTTCTTTTTCAAAAAGCAAGTGGAGAAAAGCGTGAGTTGCCATCCCAAACAAAGTAGAATATATAAATAGGAAAATGCTAGTAATATATTTTTTCAAGAAGTTCACTTTACTTTTGGCTGTGAATTGTTTTTAACGCTTTCATTGGTTTTCTTCTCATGTACACACAATCCACATGCATGCACCGTTCTCACCTTTTTTCTGGCTTGGTCCTACTAGTGCTATTTTCTTCTAGTAATAGAAATGTATTTGTGAATACTGATTATCACCTTTTTGGAAATGGTACTTCAGAAATACTGCAGCTCAGATACTTCTTAAGACCAGTTATATTTAGGGCCTATCTCACAGCTTTTAAGTTAGAAATTTATGGTTCTTCAATATCTTCCAGATTACCCACAACTGCATGTTAATGCATAATTACTTCCATCTGAAAAATTTCAAACACAGTCATGTTGCAGTTAAAATGAAGTTAATTTTTCCATTTATTTGACAGGTCCTCTGTGAGAGAATTATATTGGTAATTTATAAACTTAATATTTTTAATACCATTCTAACAAGCAGCAGTGCTATAATCATCTTCTCCACCTTCTAGAGTATTCAGTATAAAACAATTTCTTCAAATAATTTTTAAACGCAATTTTGTTAATTCTACCATGAACAATTATATTAATTGAACAGAGTTTCACATTTTTTTGTGTTGCATAATACACTTTAGAAACGGCATTTGGTTTTATTCAAGTATATCATGTGTATGTAATTTAAAAAAAAAAAAAAACAAACACAAAACCAACAGATTTCATTCTCCAAGTCAGTGCCATCTATTGCCATCTAGTGAACATTTGCAATATCGCAATATGGTCATATTTGATCCTCAAGTACTATTAGGTAAATGGAATAGCTTGTGCTGCTAGTAGAGTGATAATAATCATTTATTAAAGTAAAACTGTGTGACATCGGTATGAAAAAACCAAATCCTGATTATCTTACTTTTACTAACCTCTTCCTTTGGCCAGAAAACTTCAGTAGTATTTACTAGGGAACAATTTTGTCAGGATTGACTCTTGAAAGTAAAAAAAAATAAAAATATATTTGATTAGATGTTGGGCCTATAACTATTTAAATCTACTTCAGTTATCCCCAACTCTAATTAGGTTTATTTCATGTCATATCTCTTCTGCAGTACTTATCTGGCTCAGGGAGTTCTGTTTATGTAGCACAATAATTTTTGTCTTTTTAAATTTCATTAATTTCATAGCTAAACATCTCAAATTATTGAGATGGAGAGGTATATTGTTTTGGAGGTAGTGAGTGAGATGCAAAGAAGTGATTCACTCAGACTTGCGCAGGAAACCTGTAGTGGAACAGGAAAGTAATCACAAGTCTCCTCTACCCTGGGACCATCTTTCTTAGGTACTGAATTTTGCCTGCTGTGTCCCTTTATCTGTCTGACCGATAATACAGTTCAGTAGCAGTTTAAGGCAGTCTTATTATACGTTTTTTCCTGTTCATCCCCTTTTCTTTGTACAACCTTTTTTAGATGTATGCTAGCTCCCTTCCGTGCACTGCTATTGGACTTAACCAATTGACAACAACAAAGAAATGGTGGATCTCAGTCAGATCAATTGAATCGGCTTTTCCCGTTTCATATGAACAAGAGGCAACTTTAAGGGATGAGGTGGAAATACAGCAGGAAGGGAAGGGGAGACCACCTAACATGTGTCACTGTAGATTCCATTTACAAGAACCGTGGGCTAAAGTCACTATGAAAGTGTACAGTGAATATAGCAGCATGAGGGAATATGCATTTAAAATGCAACCGATGATGTGCATTGCTTCATTTCAACAATCTAATTGCAAAATGTCTCTCATTTTACTAAATTACCATGGAAGTGTCTTGAAAACTTTTTAGGTTCTTTTCATCTCAGCTAAAATCGCTTTTGACATTATCTTACCAGACTTTAACCTCTCTGAGGAATAAACACTTAAGTACTTTCCATATATATTATAAATGCACTCTAATTAAAGGCACATTTTGCACTTTTTAGATTTCTTTCAGTGTTGTCTTAGTTTTTGTAGAACTTGCCCTTCATAAAAACAAAAGCATTAGAATTGATTTTAATTTGGGTCTAATACGATTAAAACTGTACAAAGAAGGAGGTAACAGCTTGTACTAATGACGCAAGGGACTGATGCCTAAGGACTTTGCTCCTTCTGTGATGTAAAGGAGAAAGACTGCATGAATCATCGTGTCTTTTGCCTGACTGTGCTGCAGTACTGCTCTTTGGATTCATAACACTCTGAATCTCTGCTTTCATAACCCTTCCACAAGTGCCCTAGATAGAGAGGAAGGATAAGTTATCCCTGTCCTCTCTTCCCAAAATACAGTATTTATGAACTGTACACTTTGTATAACTAAAGCTGATTTTTTTAGTATATGGTTTATTGAACCTACTCTCAGCATTCTGCACATCATGGTCATCTATGCTTATTTCTAAATATCTCATAATTAATATTTTAAGTACTTAAGGTGGTGGTGAGGGAAACATGAAAATGTAAAATGCAGTGACCGTGAAGGGAAGTACAGTTATACTGCAGTGCATCAAAGGAAAAGCAAACCCCACTTGCCATTTCTGTGCAAGTAGATCCAATAGCTTACTAGAACTGTTTTGGATGAATGTATTTAATGTTAGCTGCAAATTTTCCTAATAAAAGAGATATTGAATTATAAAACAATAGGCCAACTCTCATTCATATCCTGAATTGTGTAACGTCAGTCCTTCTTTTGGGATTTTTTAATGAAGATGTGGAAAATCTGAAGGCTCACAATCTTTAGAAATTAAAGACCATGACAATACATCGGCCCCACCTTTCAGTCTTAAGATCGCAAACTGTAGTCATTGGGGTTTTTTACTGGCAGTACCTAATGCGTCTTACTCCTCACAAATGCAACTTCTATTAACCAAGACTTTGCTCCTCTGGGAGGGTGTCTATTTATCATTCTCACAGACAATTTTTCTTATACCATGTCACATTAGCAAAGCTGGGAATAAAAACAAAGTCTTCAGTAAATGAGAGCAAATCTCATCTACTTTACAATATGCTCCTTCAGAAGGAACTGTCAAATAAGATGCTTTTATAACTTACCGTGGAATAGTATTATTCTGTGTCACATTTAGGATACTCTAGAAATCTACTGCTGCTTCCATGATAGTGTGTGGGGAAGAGTAAATGCATATAAAACTCACTGTGGGATCCTGGAGTAACTACGAAATGAGGTTGTATTTAGAAATGAGCCTGGATATTGTGATAACTTTTTACAGTTTCATCCTGAGGCCATCCTTGCCTGTTCTTAGGAGTGGCTTTGGACGTACATAACTCAGTCGCTTGTCATCTCCTGGAAGAAATGGATCCCATTCCTGTGATAGGTACTGCAAGGCACGGGGCAGATAAGCACAGATGCTATGTGCTGTTCTGCGCCATCGTATAGAAACAGGGTGCCGTATCCACAAATACAGTCCATAGACTCTTACTGCTTCACCTCTACTCTCACATTTTAGGAAGTGTGAATGTTTACGTACTCCTAGTTACGGTGATGTACAGTCACTTGATAGGGGGTACAAAAGGTGGGGAGGGTTGGTTTGCCTCACTAGGCCAAGTCCATGAAGCCCCGGCAGAGTGAGCCTCCAAGACGTGACTTGGCTGCTTGCTCCTACCCAGGCTGGTTACTACCTACACGAGGGAGCCTGTGGGGGTATAGTTGTGCAAAGAGTCCCCTCCTGCAGCTGCTTCTGGCCAAGACTTCTCTGCAGTCAAATCATGCGAAGCCGTTAACTAAGCTGACAGAAGTGCTTTTCTATCAACTCAACTGCCAGATCTCCCAGGAGTTGTTTCTGCATCACTTTGGGGATGTGACTGTAAAGCCCCCATCCCTCATGGTTGTGCAACGCATCTTTGTTGTGTAGCCTCAGCCTCCGAGTGTGCGAGAGACTGAGCGCTGGGCAAGGGGCAGCTTTAGAGCACAGAATGGAAGACGTTGAGCATGAAAACTAGAATTTATTTAGAATTTCTCCTTTAAATCATAGAAGAAAATTATTTCTCCAGTGAGCACACCATATGCTTAAAGGCATAAAATTCATAGTCATAGACAATCATTTATAAATGATGCTTTTGCAGGTATTAATAGCTAATACAAGCATGCCTGGGCTTCCTGTAAGGAGCCACTTCAGAGGGTCCCTATTCGAAGTTTTTTATACCTACCTAACACAGTGCAACTCCATGATCAATGAAGTCCTTCAGTGAAAGCTGTTACAGTGAAAATTGAGTTTTTCCTAAGACATGAATTTGTGAAAAACTTTGGTAGCATAAATTTCATCATGTTTGAGTTCTGAGTGCTAAATAAATGAGAATTTAAGTAAATATATGTTTGTGTATATGGCCTGTTGTCTTTGCTCTGAACTCTTTCCATTACCAATAATAAGCATGAACATGGCATGGCACACTAGAATTGGAATAAACTCATAAATGTTAATAATTAACTGTTCAGAATTAATCATTATACCCACAATATACAAGTTGTTTGCAAAAGAAAGGTCTTGCAGAGTGCCTCCAGGGCTGTTTAACTCAGCCTCTACTATTACAGGACAGGTAATTCCTCTCCTACACCAGATCAGACTCCAAAGACTTCTCTTGATTTTTTGCGTGTAGGAAACAGTTAGTATGTTCCAAATGGTGACCTGGTACTCAGGTCAAGTAGGGTTCAATCGTTTTAACTGCGACCTCAGGAAAAGAAATTCATTATACCTGGGGCACATTGCCTCCTCAGACTAAGCAGGAGATGAAGAAAAAGTACCTTTACCAGGAGCTGTGATCACATTAGGGACAAGTTAAATGAGTACTATAATTTGACCAAGAAAAATGCTAGGGAAGAGAGTATCTCAAGATGTCTGTGCAGTTTTGAAAGATTATTCTCAGATGTCTTTTGCTTCCTAACACCCAGCACGAATTCTTCGATTAAGTTGAAGGGCAGGACTGTCAGGAATTACCAAATTGGTACAGCACAGAGTCTCTTCTGTCTTTGCGTATGCCTGGCTTTTATAAGCAAATGCAGGCTTTCTCTGCCTCTGCTCTGGCTTGCTCCAAGAAGCTACAGCTGAGGTTAGTGCAACCCTGGGCCCCCTGAATGTACCTGCTACGTGTCTTCCAGTTGGCATAGAGCACATACAGAGTTTCTCATGCCAAAAACAGGTATCCGGGCTCTAAAAGTCGTTTACTGCCCAGGTCCTTGAATTACTGTAGTTTAACGGTGAAACAGCTGGACTGCAGTAACCAGTTACATGGGCGTTTTTTTCTGTGGGAAATGGGACCATGACTTTTTGTAATCCTATGTCACTGGTCATTCTCTAGAGGGTACGGTTGCACTGCATCTTGAGCAGGCAGCTCGCAGAGCTGCCACTTGCCAGCCTGTCTTTGTGCAGGTGTGGGGTGGGGGGTCATGCACAAAGCTTCCTGGAGTTCAGAACCAGCCCACTCCTCACTTAGTTTCAGCCCAAATCAGTTGTCTATTTAGATTATCTGCTCATTTTCCTTTTACATGGTATGGTAGAAGGGAACAGGGGTTTGGGTGGAGGGACAGAAAAGGTCTTGTTTCCCTTGGCAGTAGTGCTCGTTTGTCATCTGAAAATGTGCATGAATTGCAGCTTCTGATGCATTATATTTTTCACAAGTTAAGAGCATGTGCACAAGCAGTTCCCAAAGCTTCAGAACGTAGTTTGTTACACCATGTAAATTATACAGATATTTGAAACATGAGACACTTCTCAAGTATGTATACCCCACTCACACAGAAGGCTTTTGACTTTCATCTAAGCTGAAGAATAAATGTTCAGATTTTTTGTTCTTGGCATTTAGCTACAAACAGATTATGATCCATTTGGGGGGGGAAGGAAAATCCCCTGTGTATGCAGTTCCAGTATAACTGAGAAAAGACCAGTATAGTCAGCTACTAGTGCTTACAGTGCTTACAATGCTGAGCTTAAATATCTGGTCGTATGCTTTTCACCCCTTAGGACTATGTGCTTGCTGTAGATGCTTATCACACTGTCATCAAATACTACCCACAGCACGAGCCTCAGCTGTTGAGTGGAATTGGAAGGATTTTCCTTCAGGTATGCATTTTATTCTAAATCCGCTAGGTAACATTGCTGTTGACAGCTATGTAGTGAATAATTGTTGCATGTAAAACTATAGCTATTTTTATTGGGCATGTATCAAATTGTAGAGGCAGTGGTCAAAACAAAAAAACCTTCTACCGCGTGATATTAGATAAAGTTAGGAAATATAAAGTACCTATAATATTAAAAGAACAAACAGCAGAAAGTTATGCTAATGATTTAATCAAAGAGCAACATTCTGCTTTCTCTAAAACTAATGGCAAAGCTCCCATTGACTTTATTGAGCCAGAATTTCACTTAAAATCTCATTTTTCACTGCCTCAAACTGCATGCAGCTCTCAGTCACACTGTATAAATGCCATCTTCATCTAGAAAAAATTTGAGAGTTTCCTTCTTTTGTCCAGGTTACATCCCTGAGAACACAGGGGAGGGCACATTAAAAGAAAAAAAACAGGACTGCACAAGTATAATAAATTTCCATGTAGCTACCGTAATGAATAAAAAAAGATGTAAATACAGTAGTAGTTTTTTGTTTATCAGAAAATGGTGCATCTAATATCTGATTGTTTTAATCTTTAATTTCTCACAGGTTCTTTGCAGTTCTTTCATATTTCTGATACTGATATTTCAAACTTTGCCTTTTTTATCTACTTCCTTTTATTATTTATTATAAATCTAACTTTGAGTTGTCGAGTATTTACAAACTTATTTGTGGCATTCATGTTATAAAATTATCTTGAAATGGAATAATTTATTCTTGATAGATAATTAAATCATTAATATTGTTTGCTTGAAATCATAGAATGTCATTCAAACTCAATTACGGGTTTTTGGTTCTCAGCAGGCACATGTTTTCACAGTGTGGTAGACATGTTTGTCTTTAAAAGTCTCTGATTTAAAGTGGATCTCCATCACTGTAGAGCAATTTTATGGTATTGGCTGTGTGCATTAATTATTACCTAAATAGGCAATTTAGTAATTATTCATATTAAAGAATGGTACTGTTAATATGCATAATACTATTGGAAATACAAGTTATTAATAGTTTTGGTCTTACTGGGAAAATGACTGGGCACATTACTAGTACTGCCTTGCTGACAAGAGTGTCTGCCCTCGTGTCACACTCTCCAGTCTGTTAGTAGCTCGGTTTGCTATAGAAAAATTTTCCCTCTCAGAAGGAAAGCATCTCCTAGCTCTGGAAAGAATTACATCCACCTAGTTTCAAAAGTGGTGTTCGCAGGCTCCGTACAGAGTCATTTGAAGTCAGTGACCTCCACAATGCTGGCTGTCAATTTAGTAGTTTTACTGTCAGAACTGGACATAGCAAAAGGGAGTGTGAGGAGCCCTTGATATTTTCATGTGATCCTAGATAGTAGTCAACAACAAGCATCACTTCTAAATTCAAATATTTACCTTCTTCCAGCACCTTAAAGAGATAAATTTTTATTGTTTGGCACGTCATCTTTTTTTTTGTGACAAAATCTTCAGCTCTATCTGGAGGGTACTGTTGCAATAGATGCAAGATTTTCACATACTAAGAGAAATAATCAGTGTGCAGGTAAAACAAAACCAAGAAGTTCAAATCAAAGAAAGAGAAATGTGTGGCAAGGCTGGGCACCATCATTTTGGTAAGACCACTGTGCGGTATGTGTGCACTTGTTGATGAGGCACTCTGTGAAAAAATTAAACCTCTTGCAGGTAAAAGGGGAAAGCAATTTTCTCATATTTAAATGTCACAGCTTCTCAAAAACAGGCAGTGATTCCCAAATAACCTCAGACTGTTCTCTTAACTTCGAGCATTATCCAAGAGAGACACAAGGGAGCCAAATTTTAGCTGCTTATCAGTCACAGAAACTGTTTGACAATAGACATCACACATATGAAACAAAGCAATAATGTAGAATGAAGTGTATGTTCAGGAGTTAAATAGAAAAAAAAAAAGCTAACCTCTTTCAACATATAAAACCTTACTTTGTGTGTGATTTTTTTTTTTCTTGATTAAATTGAACTTACTAGTTTAAGACGCCATGTCTTCTTTATCTTCACATGTAGTGAGTCATAAAGAGGCCTAGATCTGATGTACGGCTTTTACCTGTTGCCTTAACATAAGTGGGAAATGAGGATGAGAGAAATGGAGAATGCAGGAAAAGACAGAGGCTATCACAGAGAAGTTTTCAGGAGCACTGTAATTCTCTCAGCAATCACTTGACCTGTAAAACAAAAATACACACAAAATGGGGAAACAGTGAATACATTTTAGTCTCTAGGATATTGTTGTGTGTTGCTAATAGACTCTGCTTGCTGGCTGACCTATCCAAAATTGCCATTTAAATAACTACATTCAAGAATTTAGAAAGTGGAAAGCTGCCTGACCTTACCTTCTGCTATAGATTGCTGCAAAACAGAGTTAAAAGCAATAAATAAATCCTATCGGGGTACTTAAGGAAAATAATCTTGGTTTGCAGATAAACAACAAACTTAAGCACATAGTATATTGGAGGCTCCTTGTTAAAGGATAGGATTATTTGAGGTTAACAGAGGAATTTTCATTTTCATTCAAAGTGCTAATTATTATTAGATACTGAAGTCATGTTCTCTGAACTAAGTTAAATAAAATTAAGTGATGAAGGCCACTTTAAATATTTAACGTTTTAATGACTAATTAAAACTAATTCTTTCTTTTAAATGTTCTGCCAAAAAAAAAGGTAAACTGTTTCCTCTCAGTGGGAAAAAAAATAAGAATTAAAAGTTTGTCAGGTTTGCTGAGAAGATACAAGATGCTGCTAAGAAATGATCACAAATAAGGTGTGATTAATCTCAAAGCATATTAGATTTGGACTCATCAAGCTCCCAGTGGAGCAAACCGGTAGTTTGCTTTAGAATGGATTATTCTCATGGTTAGGGGCTTCCTTCTAATTTCCAGGCTAAAAATATTCAAGGATGGATTCAATTACACTTGTGCCAGCATTATCCTTTAGTTAAAAGTAACTATTTTCTTGGTGATTTACACCTTTATCTACGGAAGGAAATTTTATCTTTTGTCATTATAGCTGAATGTGTAAGTTTTTAGAATGAACATTATTTGTTTTGTTTGAGTCCAGTTATGTAACATCTGGGAGAAACACATCTGTTTAATTAATTAGAGTATTAATGGGTATTCCATAAATGCTTTGTTAGATGGACAGTTGCATCTTTGAGTGCAATTGGATCATCCCCTAAATGTAAAGAACAATGATTTCTTTATGTTGTCAAGGGAGAGGTCTTGTGGTTAGAGGCAAAGAGGTACCAGTCATACAACTGATGTTAGTAGAGCTTTGGATACTGCTACTATGATACTCCCATAAGCAAATTGGGAAGAAATCTAGATGAAACCTTAAAATGGATGTTTGCCCTGTCTGAAAAGCGTACTGGGAAAGTCATTCACTGGAAGACTAGGACTTGCTAGATGTCCTTTTCCACGAGGATCCCTTTAGGGTTTGCAGTGGTTTTATTTTTCAGTTAGGTGCTTGTATGTTGAAATTAGAAATGTGCTTGTAAAATGTACCAAGCTGGGAGTGGTACAGACACTATGAAGGGCAGGATCAGAGATAATTTGGACAAGTTGAGAAACTGAAATGTTAAGTTGGCTGTGATTCAAATGGCAAAGGCAAAACACTGCCAAAGACTGGGAGTAATTCACAAATACAAAAGGGGAAATAACCAATGAGATACTGTTCTGTAGAAAGGAGTTAGGCTAAGGGTAAGCAAACCACACATGGGTAAACAAATCGGACTTCCAAAATACTGTGACATAAAAGCAAACTTCATGTTCACATGTGAAACATAAAGTAATTCTTCCGTTCTCACTGCTGGTGAGAGAGCAATTGGAGATTGGTGGGCACACAGGGGGGATGTGAAATAACAGGAAAGAGTTCAGTGAAGAGCAGTAAGAATGATCAGAGAATCCAGAACGCATGATCTGTGAGAAAGGGGTGAACACTGATTGCTTGAAAATTGATTCTCTTTCTAGAAGAAACATAGGAGAAAGTGCAATAAAAATTTTCAAGTATGTAAAAGGCTGTTAAAAAAGAGGAGTTGTACTATTCTCCCTGACCACTACAGATAGGACAAAAAGTTGAGGTAAAAAGTGCAGCAAGATAGACCTAGAGTGTATTTTGTAATACTGCGGCTGTGTAAGAATTCTGGAATAAGTTTCCTAGGGAGGCTGTTTAATATTCACCATCTGAGAGCTTTAAGGAGACTTCAAGACATTTGTCTCAAACATTTTTGGTAATGTTGGTCTTATTCTTGAACAGGTCATTTCTTGAAGGGCCCCTGAATCTCCCCACCTGAGGGTTTCCACGGCTTTATGCTCCTGAACTAGTTTAGTTTTACTCCTTTTAATAGATTTATTTTACCCAGTACTAAGTTTTCCTCTCCTTCCATCTCTTCAGCCCGAAATTATTGTGAAACCTTACCAAAAGTATGAGTGTATCCTTCTATGAAACATACATTGCTGACTGACTTACCAAAGGGGCGTTCTTCTAAGATTTTTTTTTTCCATCTCAAATAGCGATGTATGTGACATACCCTTAGGTGAAATACCCCTTCCTTTCTAGGAATCCCCTTCCCCTATCCCACCTCCCATAAAATCTGTTCATCTTTATGCCAGCTTTCAAATCCCTCATTCCTTCAGCCTGCACCATCCACTCGCCAGTGTTTTTCAATATGCAAACGGACTGTCTCCCCCATACCCTCAGGGACCCATTGCATCGGGGTTGTTTTCTGACATGTTTCGGTCTCAAGCACTGAAGTCACCCTGTGGTCCCTGGCTGTGACCCATAAGCTGTGGGTTGCCCCAAGTATTGGTTAGCAACCAGGCTCCTGTGTTCCAGTTCTCCCGCCTGCTGACTGCCTGTGGGCAGTGTCTCTCCTCACTGCCTGCAGAGTAATGCCCAGTCTCACTGGAAGGAATTCCGACCTTTTCTCATTTTCAGCTGATTTTATAAACTCTGGAGTCAGTTACAACGGAAGAGCCAAATGAGGAGGTGGGGCACCCCTGCCATACAGTCCATGAATGCTCCACAACCCACAGCTGAGAAACATGGCCTTGGATAAAACTGTGCATGCTTTTGGGGTTCTTTGCTTTTGGGGTTCTTTTCATGACCTTAATGTGGCTCTTCAAGTACCTTGTTTGATAACAGATGTTACCCAGCCAGCTTGGTGCCAAACAATTAGATAATGGACTGTGATATGTTTTCATGTTCTTATCCATTGTAACAGATATAATCAGGCTGGATCTTTTCCTTCTTACTGTGGTTAACTTTCTTATGATTTTACTGTCTAGATTGGAGACATAAAAACTGCAGAAAAATATTTTCAAGACGTTGAGAAAGTGACTCACAAATTGGATGGACTACAGAGCCAAATTATGGTTTTAATGAACAGGTAGATAATTTAATAGCTAAATAAAACTTTAAAATATAGTTTTGCAAAGTATGCATTGTAAGCATTAAACTACCCTTGAGACAATCCCGTTCTATTTCTCTTTTGTGTAACTACATCTGTCATAAGCGAGACTGAATGGTGTACAGACCCAGGAGACCTGTATTACTCGGTACAGTCATATTATCCTGGACTGAAATTGTGATCCTTCAGTTGATTTTACAAAGCTTTTTCTCATTCTTCCAAGCATTGTATATTTTCACTCTGCTTTTTCAATATACATTTGCATAAATAACTCTTCAGAGAGGAGAAGCTGTTTGGGGCCCTTATCCTACAATCAGGTCTGCTAGCAAAGTTACCGCCGGGTAGTTTCAAAGAATGCCGGAATATGTTGTAGTAAATAGAGCTGCATGATGGGGGACTCGGTTTGTAATGGTTAGCACATTGGCTTAATATATTTAGAAAATACTATTCAAAAGTGTTCTGAAAATGATATAGCATGGCTAATTTCATGAAGAGAAATAATTCCAGGAAGAGAGTATCTGCATTTAAATTAATAAAAATACAATGAAGACTGTTGCTTTGGTAGGCAGAATATATAATAGCCAAAGGATCCAAGTTGTCATTCCATTCTCTGTAAATCAGTGTCTCCTTGCTGGTTGTAATTACACCGTGAAGAGCAAATGTCAGAAACTCTCACATCTATAACAGGAAAAATAAAAAATGGTGTCCGTTCTTTTTAAAATATATTACCACCTTGGGTTTTTGAGGAGAACTCATTCAATATGTCACTTACTTTCTAGAGCATTTCTCCACCTTGGTCAGAATAATTTTGCAGAAGCTCATCGATTTTTCACAGAAATTTTAAGGATCGACTCATCAAATGCTGTGGTAAATCTCCAAATTGCTACATTTATAATGAACACCTAAATTATTCTCGTAATGCTTCATGCGTGGATTTAATTAGCATCCCAGAATACACTCAGAGCTTTATAGAAAAATTGGATGTGGCATGTGTGCCAAAGGGTTTTTAGTATACATGAGGATAAGATACAAAATGGGATGGGTAAATGAAGAACCAGCCTATATGAAGGGCACGAATACTTAGGCATGCATGTAGAAATTGCAAAACATTATGTTTTACGAGATCTTCGCAAAAGCACTTTTTTTTTTTTTGCATTCGCTGTTTTTAACGTAGACATGCATGTCAGAAAAAGAAATGGCAGCTGCCAACGTATATAAGATTAACTTGATTTCACACAACATTGAAGGGATATTGTAATTTTAAACATGACATTTTTAACATGTTGCGTATCAGAGCCTTGGATTCCCGTCACAAGAAGAGCTGTTTGTTTACCTTTGGGTTTTCTACATTGGGCAGCTTTCAGTGCAGGGTCATCTAAGAGTGTTCCTAAGAACTGGGGCAGCTGACCCCCAGTAGCCTGATCCAAGGCCATCTGAAGACTGAGGGAACTGAGTTTAAGAAGCGCATGAATTGCATCATTTTGCAGCCTGTAAAATAGCACATATCCTAAATTGCACAAGATCGGTAAGGTTTCCTGAAGGGAGAGAAGAATAATTTTTAAAAGAAAGCTGTGTTCTTCCTTTGTCTGCAGCTTTCAGAAAGTGTGAAAGTTTCTGCAGCTAAACATGTTATATGAGTTTGTACCGCTGGAATCTTTCGGTAACTCGTAAAACCTGTTTTGTGTGGAAAAGAAAATGGGACCTGACTTGATCATTTATGATGTATTTGGACTGCCCTATCTGCTGAATTTACTTGAAGTCAGTTGTAGATGCCTTTGCGATAAGATAATTTCTTCCTGTTGCTTATGTGGATGTTCTATATGTAAGCCAGAGATAAAAACACTTCTGAAGATATAGTGAAGTCATTAAAAAAAAAAAAAACGTATGAAAGTGACAACATGCAGAGGCTCATGTAGTTTCTGAAATCTGTTTCAATTGACTTTCAAAATTAACTGACTAATGTCTTTCTTATACTATTTATATTTCAGTTTAGACTCTTAGAGTTTCAGCTCTTAGAAGTCAGCAGGCCCTACTGGCACAGGATAAATCTTGAGAATAACAAGAAGAAAATGATTGGATTGTATGATTGATAATGTATTTTAGTTACTTGCATGCGTGCGCACACACACACACGTAATTCTTAGCACACAGTAAATCTCTCTTAACTCCAGATGCTAGGATTCTTTTTTCCCTTGTCTCTCATCACTTGTAAATACATACGTACATA